CTGTGCTACAATGTGAGGCCCCCATTCTATGAGGCAATAGGGCTAAATATCACTTATGATAACTCAACTAGTGACAACCCCACTCAATGTGCCTGGGGAAACCGTAAAAGAGGTCTAACCATACGACAGGTAAGTGGCCAAGAAACCTGCTTAGGGAAGGTGCCAAGGGATAGACAAGGTTTATGTACTGTTGTTACAAAAGGAAACAACAACTGGGGCAACACTATTAAATGGATAGTTCCAAAGGGCGAGGGATGGTGGCTATGCTCACGGTCCGGGCTCACCCCTTGCCTATCAACTAAGGTGTTTAACAGCTCCAAAGAATTTTGTGTCATGGTGGCTGTGCTGCCCCGCATCCTCTATCATTCAGAGGAGAGTCTATATTCATACTGGAATACAAAAATGGTTAAAAAAAAAAAAACGAGAGCCTATTTCTACTTTAACCATTGCTACCCTGCTTAGCTTAGGAGTGGCTGGGGCAGGGACCGGCATAGCCTCCCTGGCCACTCAACATAAAGGGATGTCTTCGCTGCGCGCAGCCATAGACAAAGATATAAAGAATAAAACCTCCATTAGCCACCTGGAAAAATCCCTCACTTCTCTGTCCGAGGTAGTACTTCAAAACCGACGAGGTCTGGATTTGCTGTTCCTCCAAAAGGGGGGACTATGTGTTGCTCTAGGGGAAGAATGTTGTTTTTACGCTGACCATACCGGAGTTGTTCGTGACTCCATGTCTAAACTTCGAAAGAGTCTGAAACAAAGAAAACGAAAAAGAGAGGCCGGGGAAAGCTGGTTCGAGTCTTGGTTTAACCAGTCCCCATGGTTGGCTATCCTTTTATCTGCATTAGCAGGGCCAATAATAATCATCCTATTGCTTGTTACCATAGGACCCTGGATTCTAAACCGACTTATGACTTTTGTCAAAAGTCGAATTAATACTATCCAACTTCTGGTCCTCCGCCAACAATATCAGGCTCTTCATCCTCTTGAGAATGATTCCTCAATTTAGGCCGTAAGAAAGGGGGGAATGAAAGGAATAGGAGGTCTCAGCGGGCCCCAACCCCCTTGTTGGAGAAACCAGTACCAAACACCCCATGTAGATAAGATATAGAATGTTAGGAATGCAAGATGTGAGGTACAAGCAAGATGTGAGGTACGAGCAAGATGTGCGGTACGTGCAAGATGTGAGGTACGTGCAAGATGTGAAGTACGTGCAGGATGTGCTCTGCCTGCTTGCCTAATGTTGATAACGAAAATATGCACGCCACTGCAGTCTATATAAGATTTCCCCTTAAGAGGCTCAGGGTCTTGTTTTCCTAACCGGTCCTGCGTGTCCGTGTGGGAGCTCGACCCTGGCTAGCCAGCCCAATAAACTCTGCTTTGTTGATTGCATTCACGCCTGGCTCTCTGTCTCTCGGGGAAATTGGAATCCGGGTCCTAACAACATATTAAGGCAAGATTAAAAAAAGACATCCAAATTGGAAAGGAGAAGGTAAAATAGTCTATTTTCATATAATATGATCATCTATGTATGTAATTCTGCTTATTTAAAAAAACCCTCTGTCTCTAGGAATAATGAGTTCATAAGGATGCAGCAAACATGATCAATATACAAAATTACATTTCTGGGGCTGGATATGTGGCTCAAGTGGTAGAGTGCATGCCTATCAACCACAGGGTCCTGAGTTTAAACCCCAGTACCACCAAAAATTATATTTCTATATACTGGCAGAAAATAACCAGAAATTGAAATTAAGAAGAAGATTCCATTTATGGTAGCATAACCTTTAGGGATAAATCAGATGAAAGATGTGTAAAACTTTTATAATGAGAAGTATAAAACAGAGAAATAAAGGACAGATTGAATAAATGGTATATATATATAGTGTTCATGTATCTGGAGACTCAATATAGTTAAGGTATAAATTCTCCTTAAATGGATGTGTAGTTCAGTGGAATCCCAATCAAAATCTCAGCAGGATTTTTTGTGTGTGTGTGTGTGTGTCTCTGTGTTTGGACATTGACAAAAGTGATTATAATTTGTATGAAACTATAAAGCTAAAACATCTTTGAAAAAGAACATTAGAATCTGGCTTACAATACTGGTCTTCCAGACTTATAAAACTATAGTAATCAGAACAATCTAAAGAAAGCAAAGAGATCAATGTAACAGAACAGAGAATCTAGAAATAGACCTGCATGTATATGGTCCACTGATCTCTGGCAATGTTGCAAAGACAATTCAGTAGAGAAATGAGTGTTTTAAACAAATATGCAGCAAAATAGTTTCTGCTGGGTATCGAGGGGGTGGGGGAAAAAGGGAGGGGGCAGAGTGGGTGGTAAGGGAGGGGGGGGGGGCAGGGCGAAGAAATGACCCAAGCATTGTATGCACATATGAATAATTAAAAAAACAAAAACAAAAAACAAATATGCACATGCAAAATGAACTTTGATTTCATGCTTCACATATTTATAAAGAATAAACTACAAAATATTTTTTTTCCTTTCTCTTTATTATTCATATGTGCATACAAGGCTTGGTTCATTTCTCCCCCCTGCCCCACCCCTCCCTTACCACCCACTCCGCCCCTCCCTCTCCCCCCCCAATACCCAGCAGAAACTATTTTGCCCTTATTTCTAATTTTGTTGTAGAGAGAGTATAAGCAATAATAGGAAGAAACAAGGGTTTTTGCTGGTTGAGATAAGGATAGCTATACAGGGCATTGACTCACATTGATTTCCTGTGCATGGGTATTACCTTCTCTAGTTCCTGGTCCCCTTTTCCTATTGGCCTCAGTTGCTTTTAAGGTATCTGCTTTATAAACTACAAAATATTATAGATCTGTAAAGCCCGAACATACAAATTGTCCAGAAGAAAGTATAGGATAACCCCCCACTCCCCCCACCTTTTTTTTTTTTTTGCAGTATTGGGGCTTGAACTCTGGGCTTCCTGCTTACTAGGCAGGCACTCTACCACTTGAGGCACTCTGCTAGTCTGGGATAAAAACTGTTGTAAAGCAGTTACCCAGAGACTTGTTAGGTATAAGATAGACAAATAGATAAATTGGACTAGAAAAATTAAGAACCTTTGCTCTTTTGTTATTATTTTTTGTTGGTGCTGGGGAGTGAACCCAGGCCTCACACCTGTTAAGCATGTGTTCTATTGAACTAGACTTCCAGCCCCTAAACTTTTTCTCTTTGAAATGCTCTTGTTAGAAAATGAAAAAACATAGACTGGGAAATTTTTTTTTGTAAATCTGAAGTATTCACAGTATACAAATAACTATTGAAAGTAGATAAGAAAACAATCTAGTTAAAATCGGAAAAAGTCTGTACATATAACTCACCTAAGAAGCTATGTGGGTAGAAAGTAAAGACAAAAAGATGCTCAACATTTTTAGTCAACAGATAAATAAATGCAAATTAAAAAACAAGGAGATCCCACAATGTTTTTTAAACTTAAAAGCATGGACCATATCAAGTGATGGTGAGGCTATGGAATGACCTGAACTCTTAAAACACTATTGGTGGTAATATAAATTAGTATAACAACTTTGTAAAACAGTCTGGCAGTTTCTTACACACTGAGACACACACAAGACATACAAACTCTAGCCATTGCACTAGCAGCGTTAACCCAAGAGAAACGAAAGCATATGTCTAAACACAGACTTGTAGAGGATAGCAGCTTTTTATTTAAAACAATCTAAAATTGGAAAGAACTCAAATGTCTATCAAGATGTAAACTATGCTATAGACATGCATGTTATAGTCACAAACTATTGGAATAGACAAAATGGATGAATCTTAAAATAATTATGCCATTAGAAAGAAGCCAGATAAAATGTACATACTGTCGGATTTCATTAGTATAAATTCCAGAAAATCAAAACTAATGTATGGTGACAGAAAAGTAGAAAGGTAGGTGAGGGGACCCAGGTGCTGTACGTGGGCATATAGAAACCTTTTGGGGTGATGGAAATGTTTTTCTTGATTGTAGGAGTGATTTCAACACATATAAAAAATGTTCACTGCTACCACAGTGTGCACTTTTGATATCTGCAGTTTATTGTATGTAAATTATACTTCAATCAAGCTGGTAGAAATCAACTGGAGGGCAGGAGGTGTAGTTCAGTGGTAAAGAACTTGCCTAGAATATGGGAAGCCCTGTGTTCAATTCTCATCACTGAAAAAAACAACGGAAAATTAATTGGAGATAATTTTCAATTGTGCAATGTTTGCAACAAGATGTAATATTAGCACATAACGCAACAGTTAATTCCTCCCACACCCGTAATGTCATGAGAAAAAAGAAAAAAAATCAAGGAGAAGTTTGTGGGAGAATGGAAATATAATAGAGAGGGTGAACTCATTCAGGGGACATTGTAGGCATGTATGGAATTATCACAATGAAATCCCCTGGCATTATTAATGTATGCTAATTCAAAAATAAAATTAAATTGAAAAAAAACAGGTAATGCTAGAGATGTGAATGCTAAAGTTGGGTTGAGATATGCTTGTAAAATTACTGATCTGAAAAAATGTATGTTCATTTACCAAGCTAGTTTTCCATTTTGCAAAAAAAAAAAAAAAAGTTGGTACTTTTTCCAATTTGGGTATTTGGAGGCTTAAATCCTGGTGAACAAATTAGGAAAACTCACATACTTCCACATTGCATCATGGTCTTATGTCATTGCGCTTCAAAACAAAGCAATCACAAACAGGTGGGGCCTGTTGGGGGTGGGGCCTGTTGGGGGTGGGGCCCCGCCCTATAAATTCAGGGCAGTGCGCACGTGGGCAGCGTCGGACCTCACTACACATGCTCACGCCAGAACCACGTGATCTGCGGTGCTCTCGCGAGACCTACGTAATGGCACAGTGCTTTTGGCGCAAGCGCCCTGCGCCTGCCACGCCTCAGAAGCATGCACAGTAAGCGTGTGCACGTGCGCGACTGCGGGCGAGGGCCAGCCTTGGTGGCGGGTGGCAGGCCGAGTACTGGCATGTGGGGCCAAGGACACTTGGCTAGCGCGTCTGTGGCGGAAGGTGTGAGGTCAGTAGCAGGCCTTGTGGCGGGGGCTACCGTGGCTGCCTCGAGGCGGCCTGGGGTCGAGGGTGTGTGCTTGGGCTCCAGACCTGGGCCCAGGCCTTCGGCTAGGGGGATGCCGGTCACCACCCACCACGACTTTTCAGTGTGGTGCCTGAAGGAAAAAAAGGCCTGTCAAGGAACTGGCTTTCGTTCGTGGTGCGGGACATGAACTCCCTTCCCGCAAATTCTGTGCCACAGATCTTAAAGTGATTGTAGAAAACAGCGTCCTAGAGCAAGTGGCGGGATTTCCAAAGAAAACATTTTCATTTTACTAAGTTCAAGACTTAATGCATTCCGGAAAAACTCAGTCTCCCCAAACAGGTTCCAACCTGGTCTTACACCTCATCAGTTAAAATCTAAAACTACTTGTTAAAATGAATTTTATTAATCCTTGTTTTAAAGAGGTTTCGATGCCACTTAGAATATTTGAAACAAAAATCTGTAAGTTGAGCAAAAGTCAGAATAAAGGTTTAAATCTTTATAAACCTTTTTAAAAATAAATCATTAACTCTGTGATGCAGAGGTAACAATTTCCCCTTTCCTAGTTGAGTGCATTTAAGACTTTGGTATAGTGGGTGTTGTTAGATAACTTACAAAGCTCTCAAAAAATTATTTTTAAGAACACGGCATGCTCCCGGATGTCTTTTTTTAAAGGCAGTTCCCTGAAGGGTTTTTGTTCTTAACTTTTTTTTTTTTCCTTTTGCTGTTTTTATCCTGTATAGAATATTTGTCTTAAAATTCAAGGCCACAAAAGCAGTGTTGCGGGTGGGGGAGAAACCATGACACCAGCTAATCATGTCATGTTCACTCCCTGTCAGATTGTTGCTGTCTGCCTTCTGTAAGTAACTTTCTCCCATCCAACACTAACCAGGCCTGACCCTGCTTAGCTTCTGAGATCAGATGAGATTGGGCGAGTTCTGGGTGGTATGGCCATAGACTGTAAGTAACTCTGTGAGAAGGAAATAAAATCAGAATTGAACACTGAAAGAAACCCTTTATTTTTACTTTCCTTTAAGGTTCATGAATGGAAAGTATAATATTCCAATGTGTCAGGAATAAAATTGTAAAGTAGTAGGATATCTTTTGAACTAGTTTGCAGCTGGTAAAGTATAAAATCATGTAATGAAAATTATTTTTGAAGGGACAGAATTCAATATATTTTAGTGTTTAATCCCAGGTTATCTTCAAAATACCACTATTCCTTTAACATAAAATTGCCTGCCAGTCTCAAATAATTGTGGTGTTCCTCTTTGTTTACATTGTGGAAACCCTCCGCTTGTTTGAGACATTAATTTTGGTTAAGAAAGATTGGGTGCTAGTGCTCACATCTGTAAATTTAGTAACTTGGGAAGTTATTGGAGGATGAAGATTTGAGGCCAGCTGAGGCAAAAAGTTCATGAGACTCCCATCTCCAAAATAAGAGCAAAATTGACTAGAGGTGTGGCTCAAGTGGTAAAGGGCCTACTTTGCAAGTGGTAAGCCTTAAGTTCAGACCAGTCACCCTTCCCCCAAACGTGCACATTGTTTGTAAGTATTGTTTTATGTAAGTCATCAAAATGTGAATGAATTATCTTAGTGTAAATTTGTAAAAGTTTGGATAAGGATAATTTTATGGCTAGAGATTGTATGATGAAACTACAGTATACTCAGAACAAAAAAAGCAGTTACAGGAGAACTAATTTTCATTCCCATCAGCAGTGAATTAGGGTTCCTTTCTCCCCACATCCTCACCAGTATTTGTTGTGTTCTTGATAATAGCCATTCTAACAGGAGTGAGGTAGAATCTTAAAGTGGTTTTGATTTGCATTGCCTTTATGGCCAGGGATGCTGAGCATTTCTTCATGTATTTTTTGCCTATTTGGGTTTCTTCCTTTGAAAAAGTTCAGTTCATTTGCTCATTTCTTCATTGGGCCACTGATTTTTGGGAAATTTAGTTTTTTGAGCTCCCTGTATATTTTGGTTGTTAATCTTTTGTCAGATGTGTAGCTTTCAAAGATTTTCCCCCATTCTGTCTGCTGCCTACAACCACTATGAAAAACAATATGGAAGCTCCTCAAAAAACTAAAAATAGAACTCCCATATGATTCAGTAATACCATTCCTAGGGATAGACCCAAAGGAATGTAAGTCAGATTACAACAAAGGCACCTGTACACCCATGTTTATTGCACCATTATTCATAATAGCTAAGATATAGAAACAGCCCAGATGCCCCCAACTGATGAATAGATTAAGAAAATGTGGTATTTATGCACAATGGAATTTTATTCAGCCATAAAGAACAATGAAATTTGTCATTTGCAGCCGAATACATGGAATTTGAGAACATCGTCTTAAATGAAGTTAGCCAGGTTCAGAAAGCCAAAGGCCACATGTTTTTTTCTCCTATGTGTAATGTAAGCCTAATACAAATATAAGCAATGTTCTGAAAACAGATCAAGCTAAAGGGAGGCCACTAATGAGAGAGGGAGGGTAAAAGAAGGAAGTTAAGAATGTGAATATGGTTATGTATTTCTATATAGGAATGAATATAGAATTGTTAAACCTGTTGAAATCACCATAAGAAGGGGACTAAGGTAGAAAGGAGAAAAACAGGGATGAATCTATTCAGGTTATAGTATATGTTATATACATGGAAATGTCACAGTGAAACTCCTTGTATAGCTATCTTAAACAAAAATGTCTTTTTTCAAAAATGATAGACAGGAAGGTAAAACAGGTCCTGTCTGGGGGCTGGTCTGGTAGGGGGAGGGGTGGATGTAAGGAAAGGGCGTATATACGGTGGAAATATTATGTACTCATGTATGAAAATGGAAAAATGAGACCTTTTGAAACTCCCCCAGGAGTTTCAAACTCTCCCCCAGGAAGGGGGGGGAGATAAAGGAGAAAGATGGAGGGGGTGAATTCAGCTATGATATAAGAACTTTTGTAAGTGTCACAGTGTAACCCCAGTACAACAGTAATTAAAAGTTAACAAAAAATAATTATGGAAGAAAATACATTTGAAATGATTTTTAATATAGAGTTTAAATTTTGGTAACTTAATTAGGGCAAAACACACTTCTAAGAATTTGAACATTATGTGGTTTAGTCTTTATTCATTGATAATAGATGGATTATTATAATCTAATTAAAGGTATTGACTTGTTTTAGTCTTTCAGGAATTGTCCAAATGGATGATGATACACATTATAATAAAGGTACTGACAATAAAAATTATTTTGGGGTGTGAGAGCTAAATGATACAGATTAATTTCTGATTTTCTTTGCATTTGATTTGATTTTAGTTGAAGATGTGGTTGGAAGTCACGTAGAAGATGCAGTAACATTTTGGGCTCAGGTAATTAGAAGCCTGGTTTGTTTCCCTCTTTCCCCTTCCCTTCCCTAACCCAAGTCTTGCTTAACAAAACAAAAACCTAGGAATAAATATATTTATCAGTGTCATTCTTAGTACTCAATTATTATTTAGCACCAGATATAATTAAACATAAATGGCTGCAATTTGGACTTGACTTGAGTTATGAGTGGTATACTTATAATACAGCTGAGTTAAACAAAAATGAAAATAAGCAAGATTGTGACTTCAAAATTACATTTAACATGAATATCTTAGGCTGCATAAAATGTTAGAGGCTAGAGGCTTGTGTTTGTGAAGTGATAGCCCCATCTAGTGGTCTTTTATAAGATTGTTTCTTGAAAGGTAAGTTTTTAAATCTGTCATTTTTTTTGTTACAAAAATTTAGATTTCTAACTCTGCTTTGCTTATGCCTTCAACACATTCACACCACTTTCTGCTCCTCTGTAAGGAAGGCACACTTGGTCCTGTCATGGACACATTTAGCACACATGGAATCACCTCAGGCCCTACCAATGTTTTCCATTTTAGGCAGTATCATAAGGACTTTGGGTCTCACAGAAAGAAGCCCTTAAAGTTGGCTTGGTCACCCACCACAAGTGGAAGTTTGGTGCATTCCCAACTTTCTTGGTATAAAGGTAAACAATTCAGTTACCAGAGGTTTTGGACAGAGTAGTTTTGTTAGAGGCTGTATTGTAGGAAAGCCTGTGATGGTATATCAAACACTGGACCATTCTGAGTGCTCTTCTGCTACCTCAAAGAACTTTTCTGAAATTTCTAGCTCCTCAACTGGTGGCCAATTAAGGGAATAAAGATAGGGAGAGGAAGAAGCCACCATACCTCTAGAAACATTCCAGGAAAAAGAAAAAGGAAACTCATTTTTTCTAACATTTAAATTTTAACTTGAGATACAATACTGTTCTCATTGAAAAATTTGAAGCACTATTGAAACATTTCTAATTTACATTGGTAGGCTGTAAGTCAGGTAAGTGTATTCCAACTTTAAATACAGAGTTAAGCACCGACATACTGTGTTTTAGAATTTAAGAAGGCGAATCCCTTAGTACACACAATTTCCACTAATTCTTGATTTTGTGAACTATACATGATAAGGGAGGGAAGGGAGTTACGTTTCTCTATACTTAACATAAGTTATGGAAACTCCTTTTTTGGTGGGGTAAATTGGCAATATGTGTGTGTGGAATAGAATTTATGAGAAGAAAAGTTACAAAAGAATATGATTAGCCAAGAATTCTTAAATACCTATACAAAACATTGTAGAAGTATGATATTCTTAGAAAAATGAAGGCAAATTTGTATTTCTGCTTATGTGCATATTCTCCAAAGGGAACTCACTTAATGTAGTTCTGTGCCCACTGTGTCTACATAAATAGCACGTGTCACTCTCAACAGTGCCCTAGGTTAGATAATAAATTATATGTTTAAGCTCTTTATATAGGAACATCATATATTGGATTTAATATTTTTTAGATCAGTGCTGTCTAAAATATGAGAGATATGAAATATGAGAATATAAGAGATATATGACTAATTTAAAAAATATTTTTAGTAGCTACATTGGAGAAATAAAAAACATAAAATTAGTTTCAATAAATTTTATTTAACTCAATATATCAAAAATACTGTTTCAAAATGTAATCAGCAAGCCGAGTGTGGTGGTGCAAACCTTCAATCCCAGCTGCTTGGGAGGCTGAGGCAGGAGGATCTTGAATTTGAGGGCAGCCTGGGCAACTTAGCAAGACCCTGTCCCAAAATAAAATAAAAACTTGCCTGTGTGAGGCCCTGTGCTCATTCCATAGTACTCAAAACAATATGCATACACATATAGATAATCAGCATAAAATAGGACCAAGATGTTTTGTATTCCTTTTTTTCTTCTTAAATCTCTGGAATCCAGTGTGTATTTTAGACTTTTAACACATCTGGAATCAAATTAGCCACATTATAGTTTAGTATTTGCTACATATTGGTTAGTGCAGCTCTGTTTTTTTTCTTTTTTTTAGTGTTACTGGAGTGTGAACTCAGGGCCTTGAGATGGCTAGGCAGGTGCTCTACTACTTGAGCCACCCCTTCAGCCCTTTTTTGCTTTAGTTCTTTTCAGGTAAGAGTCTCACTATTTTGCCTGGAGCTGGCTTCAGACTCCTTCTTATGCCTCCCATGTAGCCTGCGTTACAGGTATGAACCACCATGCGCATCTCATTGGTTGAGACAGGGTCTCACTAACCTTTTGGCCTGGCTGGCCTCAAACCATCACTCTCCTGATCTCTACCTCCCATGTGGCTTAACCCGAGTAGCTCTAGACTTTGGTTTCAGTTGAATTTATATGTGAAACTGTTGATTAAATTTGGAGCTATGATTTAAACCAGCAGACTTTCTCTGTAAAGGCTCAGATAGTAAATATTTTACAGTTAGTAGGCCATACAGTCTCTGTTGCAACTATTCAACTTCATCAGCTCTGCCCTTGTAGTTCAAGAGCAGCCATAGACAATGTGTGAATGAATACTTGCAGTTGTCATCCAATAAACTTCATGAAAACAGGTGGTATTATTTGCCCATCTTTGATTTAAACCATTAACTTGAGGCTCATTTAGACATTTATACACATCTTAAACATTTGTTAAATGGATAAAAAGTTTTAAAAAATAAAACTACTAATGGTATCCCAAAGAATAATGATTATTTCAGGGAGCAAATTGTAAAATTTGATTGGGGTTAGTGTGAGGCATAATATGCATGGAGAAGAGTAGGTGGAGATTTGGAAACACATAGAGGCAAGCCAGAATGAAGATCTGCACGTTTTGTTGTTTTGCAGCCATGGTGGATGTCTACCAAATAAGTCATTTATAAGAGAACACTTTATAATTATTGGTATGCCTGGTTGGACGAGGGACAGCTGAAGGAATTCTTAGTATTTTGCCTCTTCCTATTCCTTTATTTGAAAGAAGGAATCTCCATTTAGTTTCGTTTTTATAGTGACAAAGTAGGGTAAACTTTTTTTTTTAAAGCAAATTCTAGCAGTAGTTCTCAAAGGTTACGTCTACTATTTCTTGAAATCAGTTTAAATTTAGTTTTTTTTTGTGTGTGTGATGACATTGATTTTCATCATTAAGTCCTGGAAACTGCTTTTTTAGAGTGTTTCAGTCATCAAAGATAATCATGTTCTTTCTAAGCCTTATGGAATACTTTGCTAGTATATTTCTTTGGAGTCTATATGTGTGTGTACTTAAATTTTTTCACTTGGGAATAAATTTAGACTTATAGGAAGGTTGCAAAATTAGCACAGAGGGTTTCTGTATACTTTTCACCCAACTTTCCTTAATGCTAATTTCTTATGTAACCATAACACAATGACCAGAAAATTAAAATTAATATTGGTTCAACACTATTGACTTTATTCAAACTTTACCAGTTTTTTTCTTTTCCAGTATCCAACACTTCACATTGTATATCCTTAGTCAGTTCCAACCTTTGATACTTTGTTATATTTTCCTTGCATTTCATGACTTTTGATACCTTTGATGAGTACTGGTGATTTTATAGACTATCCCTTAATTTAGGTTTGTTTGATGATTTCTCGTGGATTGGCAAGAATACATAGAGTGTCTCATGTTAGGAGGTTCATGGTGTCATTGTATCTTGTTATTGCTTATTGTAACCATGATCTACTTGGTTAAGGTGGTAACTTCTGTTTTCTTTCACTATAGTTAATATTTTTTCTTCTGTCCTTAATAAATGTTTTAATGAGAGACGCATCGGGACTGTCTAATCTTGTTTCTCCTCAACTTTTTCACTCACAGATTTTCTTATTTATCACTATAGCATTTGTGTAATGATTATTTCCATTATTTTTTGTCATGCTGGGAGTTGAACTCAGAGCCTGGTACTTGCTAGGCAATCACTCTACTAATTGAGCCAGTCGCCAGCCCATTTTCTGTTGGTTATTTTTGTGATAGGGTCTTGGCTTTTTTATTTTTATTATCATATTATTATTGTACTGGGGGTACATTGTGATTTACAAAAGTGCTTATTATATAGCTTAGTTAAATTCATCCCCTCCACCATTCTCCTTTATACCCTCTTCCCCCATTCTTAGGATAGTTTCAACATATCTCATTTTTCCATTTTCATACATGAGGATGAAGTCATGAAGTATTAAGGTCTTCCTTAATGCCCAGGCTGGCCTGGACCGCAGGCCTCTAATTTATGTTTCCCTGAATAGTTGGGGATGACAGGTGTGTACCCTGTGCATTGGTCGAGATGGGGTCGTGCAAATGTTTTGCCCAGGGTACACATTGAGCTATTTTTCTCCCAATCTCTACCTCCCAAGTAGCTAGGATTACAGGCTTCAGCCATTGTGCCTGATTTTTAATTCTTATTCCTGATGCATTTATTAATTGTTCTTCTGTAAGGAAGAGGTGTCTCTTCTGCCACTTATTTGATTATTCATTTATTTACATTAATACAGACACATGGATAATTATTTCATGGGTTGTAATCCAGTGTCATTATTTTGTTGCATAAATTATTCAGCTCTATTAGGACAAAAGTTGGTCAAAGAACATAGGTTGGCTACTTGTCCTTTAAACATGTCCTATTCTTTTTTTGAGAACTTCTTTCTGCCATTACATGTTCTAGGATTCATATTTTATTTCCTAACCATGTATCAATCAGTCTTCCAGAAACCTGTTTCATATAATTTAATAAGATTTGGTACCTTGTTTGAATTCCAAGTAATTTGAACACACTGAGAAGTAAATTTTTCTATAGCCTACTCTCGTTTCTTACAGGAACTCATTTGAATGAGGAAAAAATACTGACACAATTTGATCTGATATCTAATGTTCCAAAATCTTTTAAAATCTCATGCTTACTAGGATCTTCAGTTATTTAACACTGTCAAATGATATTTTACTGAAGCTCAGATTTTTGTTTTCTTTCTAGAATATCAATAGAAATGAGGATATTATGAAGATTGGCTCTTCACTGTCTGAAGTTTGTCCCCATGCCAATTCAGTTTTTGGGAATCTTGATCCAAAGAAGGTGATCCATATTCTTGGTATTGTCTAATCCCACCTGTTAGCTTACTCTACAATAAGTTTTACGGTTTTTGGAATTTGGATATATTTGAAAGGAAGAGGCAGATTTTTAGAATTTGTGTTACTACACTTATAGTAAACTTATTCATTCAATGAACTGCATATTACTTGGTTTTAAAAAAGGAAAGAAATTTTAACATAAGTTACCACATGGATGAATCTTGAGGACATTATGCTATGTAAAATAAGCCAGTCACAAAAAAATACTGTATGATTCTACTTACATAAGTACCAAACTCAATTATAAATTCCACTTACAGAGTAGTCAAAATCATTGAGCCAGAAAGTAGAATGGTAGTTACCAGGGACTAGGGTGAGTGTAGGAATAGAGATGAGTTGTTTAATGGATACGGAATTTGAGTTGTATAAGATTAAAATTTATGGAGATAGATGGTGTAGTAATGGAAGCAAAATGATATGAATATACTTAAAATATGCCATCGAACTGTCCATTTAAAATGGTTAACAAAGTAAATTTTATACTGTGTGTATTTTCCCACAATAAGAAATTAGTGAAGAATATAATTAAAAGCTACAGTATCCCACTCCCCTCCAAAAAAAATCTTAGAGAATACTTGGTAGGTGCCAGACATTGTGTTGAGCATGAAATGTTGAAGAAAAAACTTAGAATACTGAACAAAATACTTAGAATCCTTGCAGTTGACACTGATTCATAAGAAATGGGTAAGAAACACCTTTTTGAAAAAGAATCTGATTAGCCTTTTCTCCCTTTTTTTCTTGAGGTATAACTTATATTCGGTAAAGTGTAAATCTCCTAAGATCTTAAATGTGCAGCTTTGTTGAGGAAATTTTATATAAGTATGCTTCCACATAACCACTCAGTTCAAGATAATTGTTCTGTCATCCTGGAAATTTCCCTCAGGCCCTTTCTTAGTCGATTCTTAGCCAATAGTTTCCTCAGAAGAGGTAGCCATCATTCTGACTTTCATCAGAATGCCTATTTTAAATCTTGTTCTGTGTATTTCACTGTATATATCTGGTTTCTTTTGTTTAATACAATTTTTGAGGAGGTTCATCCACAGTGTTGTGTGTATTACTGTATTGGTAGGTTTTATTTTTTCTAAACTTTGCAGTATTTCATTTGCACAAATGTAACACAATTTAATTGTTTTGTTTTCCTTGGATGAGCAGTTGGATTATTTGTCATTTTTGGCTACTTAGAAGTTGTTTGAAATCCTTATGTAAGTTTTCTATTGGGTATATTGACTGATTTGTTTTGCTCAAAACAAATTTGTATGCAAAGATGTTCATACAAAGATATTTATTTCAACATTACTTGTAATAGGCAAAATTAGAGGTTAACTATCCTTTAATATTTTACAGTAGTAGTAGTAACATTGATGGTATTTATTTTGTTTGTGAGGCAGTATTCTAAGTGTTCAATATGTACTAACTAATTTATCTTCATAGCAACCATTTAAGGCAGGTATTGTCATTACTTTATACTTTTTTTTTGAAATTGAGGCACAGCCAGGATAACTTTATGAAAAAAATGATCAAATATTCAAACCCATAGAACCCACCTCCTTAACTGTTAACCCTACATTGGAAAAATTAATGAGTTTTAGTAGAACCTTACTTTGGAATACTAAGTGACCATTTTTGGGGTGCTGGTACAGGAGTGAGGCAAGTATAAAATTTAAGGAGGCATTTATGCGAGTGTTGGGTTGGTATGTGTTTGCCTTATTTGCTTTAACTTGCTTCAGGCCCTGGTTATTTAAACATGGGAGGTTGCTGTAGTCTAAATATTTACATATCCCCAGAATCCAGAAGTCCTAACCCCCAAGGTGATGGTATAAAGAGATAGGGTCTTTGAGGGAGCTTGTTTGCCCCTTCTGCAATGAAAGTGCAAGCGGATGCCATCTATGAGGAACAGACCCTCACTAGGTACTGAATCTGCCAGCAGCTTGATCTTAATAATGTTTGTTATTTATGAGATTCTGATTTTAAATTATTTTGTGATAGCAGCTGAAACAGGCCAAAACAGAGGTAGGTCTTTGAATTCTTATATGGAATATAAGAATTCTTATATGGTACAGAATAGTTACATACCATGAGCCCAAATATGTTAATAAGAACCATACATATGTGAAATTAATGAGAGTGGTAGGAAGAAGTTTTATTCTTTATCTCTTGATATGGTTTTTTTTGGTGCTGGGGCTCAAACCTAGGACTTGTGCTTTATCACTAAACTTACTCAGCTCCTTGGTTATACTTTGATTTTCTTTTTAAATAATGCACCTCTATTAGTTTTGTTTTAAAATAATTAAAACCCCAATGACATAAGTAAAAATGTATAAGAAAAAGAAATTTAAGCCAGGCTCCAGTGGCTCATGCTTACAAATTCTAACTACTTGGGAGACTGACATGGGAAAGATCACAGTTTGAGGCAAAAAGTTTGCAAGATCCGCATCTCAACCAATAGCTGGGTGGAGTGGTGTGTGCCTGTTATCCCAAGCTATGTGGGAGGTTGAGATAGGGAGGATCAGGTTTAAGGCCAACTTGGGCAAAAAACTTTGTGAGACCTTCTCTCAATGGAAAAAAAAAGCTGGGTGTGGTAGCACATGCCTGTCATGTCAGTGACAGTGAGAAGCTTAAAATAGGAAGATTGTGGTCCATGCAAGCCTGGGCGAAAAGTGAGACCATATCTCCAAAATAACCAGAACCAAAAGTGGCTCAAGTGGTAGAGCTCTTGCCTTATAAGCATGAAACCCCAGTATTAAAAAAAAAAAAAAGGATACTTATGAGGAAGGAAGGTAGCTTGGTGCTAAGCATCAGATGGGTAAGGTAATGCAATTGTAAGATCTTCAAATTTCTTTTAAAGAGTTCTTGTAGTCTGTAAACATTTAATATTATTATAAATTAAGAACACTTCATTTTCTCTGTTGAATGTAGAATAAATAATTTGCATTGCTACAAATTCAAACTAGCTTTAATAATAGGTATTTGATTATAAATTATTACTTGCCACATATGATTACCCATACTTTGTAAATTTTTTGTAGTGATCCTAGTGGTTCTCTTCTTTTCACCAAATAGAGACGTCAGTTGCTATGAGTAATGGATTTGTGAAAGGAGAAGGTTGGGCCCAGGAACAATGAAAATGAAGATACAATTCTTTGTTCTCAAAACAGGACTGTTTGGGACAGACTTACATGTTTGTGATTATTTGCATTAATAGAGCCAAGAGTTTCAGATTCCTCATCTTTATCGGGTCCCAGCTCTATTCCTGGATAGAACTATTCTCAGTCTTGCCTCACCAGGGTTGCAGTAATATACCATGTTTGTTACTTGTCCTATACCAAATTGTTAATTAACTATATTGGTATATTACTACAAAGCCTTAATTAAAGAGTTTGAAAATGGAGTAGGACTGTTGATTATCAGCTATTTCGCTGCTTACTAAAAAATGAAGTAAGGTGGTTGAGAGGGGTGCCATAGCATTAGTGCTGTCTTGCCTTCCAGTTGTTGGATGTTAGCTGAGGGAACCAGAGTTAAGTACTATTTGAACACTCCTGTCATTTATAGCATTTGATTTGTTTGATGTAAATTTGTGTGTCTGAATTGATTTGTACTTTGTTGTTTTGGGATATTGAGGGTTTTAAGGTTTCACACTGTGTATTACTTTTGCTTTAACATAAATCTGTGAATTTGTCCTAGTTCAGAGTGATGTTTTAATTTAATTTTATACTTTGTCATTTAAATCAGTGTTCCTTAACCTTTTTTTCATTCCCTTCTATGGAGCATTTTTAGAATTTTTTTCCCAAATGGGTATTCTCCCCTCAAGATACTTTAATACCTTAGATATGTAATGTATTTATTAATTTTGTCAGGTAGGACTGAACTTTGGAAGGCTGCAAAACGTTGTAATAGCTAAGATTTTTCTTCTCCTCTACCTCCCCCTCCCACTGCCAAAGTCACTTTGCATTCCCTTGGTGAAGATACTTCCTCAACTGAGAATGTGTGATTTAATACAGTTATCAACCTGGAGTGATTTTATGTTCTCACACTTCCACTCCCAGCAAGCATTTGGCAAAGTTTGGAGACATAGTTGGTTGTCACAACTGGAAGTGGTGCTACTGACATCTGGTGGGTGAAGGACAAGGGAGATGTTGGTAAACATACTACAGTACACAGGCAGAGGACAGCCCTGCTCTCTCCTCCAAAAAAGTCATACAGTCACAAATGTCAGTAGTGCTGAGGCTGAGAAAATAATTGAAAGTACGTAAATATTCTCTTTGCTCTTCTATTAAATATTATTAAACTAAAATACAAATTTAAAACAAATGAAAATTTAACAATTAGGTTGCTGTCTTGTTTTATCCACTAAATATAGCCAAGAAAAAGGTTTGATTTTGGTGTTGCTTAGTCAAATCAGTGACTCAAGAGGTAGAGTGATTGGAGAAGACATAGTTTTATTTAGTGGACAAAGAGTGGAGAAACAAGAATCTCTGCTGGCAAATCAACCTCTCAGTTCCAGGGAATTAAGGAGTTACAGAAATAGAATAAGAATAGTAAGGGAGAGAGATAGGCTGTTGTATGGGAGGAAGATTCATGTCATTTCTGGAAATAGGTGGAGACCTTTGAGCATCTTGGGTGTCACCTCTTTTCATCCCTTTGATGGTCTGGTGTTTTCATTCATGGTGGGAGTAGATGTCTTACTGCTGCAAAGGAGATAAATATAATACGAAGACAGGTGCCAAGCCTTTTTGTCTTGTTCCGGTTGTCATATCAGACATTTACAGGCCCAAATGAAGAGTCAGTGTTTTCAGCAAAAGTGGCTTTGAGTCCCTAAAAGTAACCTTTGGTAACTGTTACTATTATAACCTACACAGCTTATTATCTACTGCAAAGCTAGAAGGACACTAATGTATTGCCTAGCTGTGTGACCTCTGAAAGTAATGGTTTTTAAGTCAATTAGGAGCAATTGAAGGCTTACGTAAGTGTTATCCTTGATAACAATAGCACTAACATCCTTCTATATAAAGTAAAAAGTATAAACATCTTTCCTGGTTTATAGTAAATATGTATTATTAAGGACAAGAATTAGAATGATGTAGAATGTATTTGCCATGTCTAGGTGTTATAAAAATTGTGCTTACTGTGTCTTCAGACATTAAGACAATGAGACAATGTGATTTAATATCTTCGATGATTGTCCCTTTTTTTTTTTTTTAACGTTCTGGACTTTTTTTTTTTCCTTCTCCACTCCTCCCTTCCCCTCCCCTTCCCCTCCTCTCGTCTTCTTGAGGCAGAGTCTTGTTATGCAGCCCAGGCTGGCTTTGAACTCACTATGTAGCTCAGGCTGAGTGTCAAACTTGCTATTCTGCTTCGGTCTCCTGAGTGTTGGGATTTACAGGTGTGAACCACCAGGCCTGACTGAACTTCCTGGATTTATTATTTTTTTGACAGTCATGGGGTTTGAACTCTGGGACTCATGCTTGTTAGTTAGGTGTTCCACCACTTAGCCCTAACTCCAGGCCCTTTTGTTTTAGTTATTTTTCAGGTAGCAATTTTCATTTTTTCTGCCCAACCCCACCTGGACCACAGTCCTCTTACTTACACCTTTTGTATAGCTGGGATGACATAATGGGTGCCAGTATGCCCACCTTTTTTCTGTTGAGATGGATTCTCTATAACTTTGTTCCCTTGGGCTGGCTTGAACCATGATCCTCTGAATCTCACTTCCCAAGTAGCTGGTATTACAGATGGGAGCAACTATGCTTATCCTGAACTTTCTAATTTTTTTATACCCTCTCTAATTCCTCTTTTTTTTTGGAGTGACATAATAGCATAATGGACTCTGAAGTCAGAATTTTGAATCTTAGTACTGCTGCGTACTTCCCTGTGAGTTTGGGTATACAGTGGTGAAACTGTCTCATATAGTTGTTGTTAGAATTAAATCAGTATTATATGTATAGTACTCATTTCACAGAGTAAATGCTTAATACATGCTAATTTTTATTCTGATCTCAAAATGCTTTTTATCAAAATGCTAAGTTTTCTTTTTCTTTTTATAGATTTATGGTGGATTATTTTCTGAAGATAAGTGTTGGTACAGATGCAAAGTACTGAAAATCATCAATGATGAAAAGGCAGGAAATGTGTTTTTTTATGTTAAGGAGTATTTTTTCTGGCTCTAAAACTTGATGCTTGTTTAGCCTATCATTTTTATTAATAGTAGTAATAAGGTCTGGTTTAATGAACTTAAGAATTGATAAAAATATGTTTTTTCGTAGCAAACATGAAAGAAATAAATTGCTTAAAAAGATAAGCTGGGTGCTTGCTTTGGCAGCACATATACTAAAGTTGGAACGATACAGAGATTAGCATGTCCCCTGCACAAGGATGACACACAAATTTATGAAGCGTTTCATATTTTTAAAAAAAAAAAAAGATAAGCTGGGTGCTGGTGGCTCAGGCCTGTATTCCTAACTACTCAACAGGCAGAAATTAGGAGGATTATGATTCGAAGCCAGCCCTGGGCCAATAGTTTAAGAGACCTTATCTTGAAAAAACCCATCACAAGAATGAGCTGGTGGAGTGGCTCAAGTGGTAGAGTGCTTGCTTAACAAGCATGAGGCCCTGAGTTAAGCCCCAGTACCAGGGAAAACACACACACAAAAACCCAAACCAGGTAAGATTCAGGAATATTCTAATAGATGATATAATTTGTGGGTTATTTTTGGTGACTAGTTAATTCTTTGAACTTAAGTTATTAATAACTATGTTTGGTTCTTACTAAGGCATAAATTTAAAAGTTCATTTTGTTAAGATTGATGCATAGGCTAAGAACATTTGATTGATCCTGAAGTGAGGTGTCTTTTTCTTGTAAATATCATCAATAATAAAAGATTGGTTTGCTACCTTCTCATGCTTAGGTTAATGTGATAAGTTGTTTTTGTGTGTTTTAAGCATTTTATTTATTTATTTATTTCACATTGAGAGCTTGTAAGAAATTTAAGGGGATTTTGGGGGAGTTAAGATTCTAAATTGCTGGTGGAAATTGCACATTGCAGGTTGTGTGAAGACATTTCTATAGGCTTTAGTAGTTTTTCTACATCTCTCTGGATTTAAAATATGTTTTATAATATGTATTTTGTAAATATTTTTCTTGGTGTAATAAAGTGATAAGATGAAACAATTTGATTATTGCTTTGATTAACTTGTTAAAAAAATCTCATTATTTACTATCACCATAAGTAATGGTTTATCTTAATGAAATCAAAATCTCTTTTTCCCATAATTTGACAGGAGAATATATTTTACATTTGCTCTGGATTGGCTTTAACTTTTAAAATTAAGTAGCAAGATGCTATTTGACTTTGTTATAAACTTTTTAAACTGATACAGAATTGGAGGTAAGGGTGAATTTGGTAGTTCAAGGTTTAGCTGGAGTGGGTTTAATTTTATCAAAGTTGCTTGATAAAATCTGGAAAGGTTTTATTGTTTCTACCTTAAGAATGTTGATTGACTTTAACATTAGGAGAGGTAGGAAGGAATAAGTGTCACAGACTCATGTTTATTCAAAATACAATTTTTTAAAAGACAAAATGAGAAATGGTACCATTGGAATTTAATACCAAATGTAGAAATCACTGAATTCATGATTATTTGTTTTGAGTTTATTACCAGAGCTCTGTTTCTGAATGTATTTGATCAATTTGAGATAAAACTTACAGATAATTAACAGAAAGCAAATTGTGTTTTTTAAAAAATATTTAATTTCAGTTCATTGTTAGTATTTGTCTCCTGTTTTTTCTAGTGTCTGGTTAGGTACATTGACTATGGAAATACTGAAATTCTAAACCGGTCTGATATAGTAGAAATTCCTTTGGAGCTGCAGTTTTCTAGTGTTGCCAAAAAGTACAGACTTTGGGGACTACAAATTCCTTCTGGTCAAGAAGTTACCCAGTTTGATCAAGTAAGTCACAGATTAATATTTTTGTGGATGAAAATAAAACTGTGTACTTAAAAATGTAATTGTATTTAAATCTCATTAACTTTGCTTAAAAGGCTAGATAAGTTAGCAAAAAATGAATTGTAAAATAATTCAGGGCTGGGGATATAGCTCAGTGGTGGAACATTTACCTAGTATGTTCAAGGTCCTGGGTTTGATCCCCAGTACTACAAAAAAGCACAGAATATTTCAGAAGCAATTATATAATATAATACAGTTTATATTTTTTCCATTAAGTTGTAGGTTAATAACCTTTCTTCTTTAATAAATACTTTGACCAAGGTAAAGCCTTATTTTGGATTTCTTGCATGCCTGAGATCCTAGAGTCTTAAATTTACAAGACTTAGATTTTATGACTGCTCAGCTTATTGTAAAAAGAAGGAAATTGTTGTCTAGGAGAATTAAACATGTTATTTGGAGTCATAAAGCTAGTTACTACAGAGCAAGGGCTAGAACTCACATCAATTACTGTTTTTATAGTAAGATGATAGACAGATCTATGCTGATTGAGACAAACATGAGTCAAGAAAAAAGGCATTTTTAAAAAGTTTTGGAACTGAAGAAATAACTTTCAACTAGGAACGTTTTTGTGTGCTTCATAGATTTTTTCATAGGTGGTACTACATATAAACATCTGGATGCTTAGCTCAGTAAAAAGGTCATTGATCAGAACTGAGCTGATTGGCAGGCTTGTCTGGAAAAAAGAGTCATTCTTGAACAACTGGTTAAGATCATATTCAAGAGATTCTTTGTGCTAATTGTGATTGGAGACCATAAGTAAAAGGAATCTGACTTTAGAGAAAAGTCTAAAGATTATATTTCTATGTAAAAATTCTAAGAATGGAGTTGTGTAGCTTTAGAACATTCAGCTTTTGTTCACTGGAACTTTTCTAGGAAGTAGGTAATGTCCATTTGAATTCATTTGCTGTCCAAAGAGAGAGGTTCTTGATATATTGGATTCCAGGTGCTAGGGGTGTGGCTTAAGTGGTAGAGAGCTTGCCTAGCAAGTGTAGGCTCTGTGTTCAGTCCCTAGTGTCAGAAAAAAAATCCACATATTCCAGCAATAAGTTTCAAAAACTCCCCTAGGGGTAAAACTTGTACTTGGATTTTAGATAAACTTTCAACAATAATGGTTGAAACTAAGGGTTTTTGTAGGTAAAATGTTAACCAGAAAACAACATCTGCTTGATCGGAATCCTAATGTGATACATTTCAGTGAATTGCATTTTGAATTTGTTGGCTTGGTTCATCTCATTTGCTTGGTGATGCCTTTTGGATCACATTTGCTGTTTATATTGTTATTCTTGGTCAATTCAAGCCTCTTGATATATGTGTTTCTAATTTTTTTTTGAAACAGGATCTTGTAAGGTAGCCCAAGTTGTCCTTGAGCTTGGATACCTCTTGTCTTAACCTCCCAGGTGCTCAGAATACAGGCATGTGCCACTTCCTCTGGCTTGTTTTTCCAAGTTTTTTGCTTTGAAAACTGAATAAAACCTATGTTTTTGTTAACCTAAGTATTTTGTCATTTTGGTTTGTGGATTAAAAATTCTCTTTTACGGTGATGGTTGGTGATCCTTGAGCGTGCATAGTTTGAATCTCCTCTGCTCTTTCAAGTGTGTTTTTCTAGGAGCAAGAGTTCTTAACCTGGTGTTAAATTTTATCACAGTGAAATCATTTCTTTGTAATATCATGTATTTTGTGCATTTAAAAATATTATTCTGAGAAGGGTCCAGAGATTTCACTAAACTGATAAAAGAGCCCTTGGTACAAAAAGTTAAGAACTACTACATAGGTTTCACTTCTACCCTCTACACTGTTGTGCAATTAAAAAGAGGTACAACATTTAATCCTTACCAATATTATTTAGTTTCTTGGATCCTGAAAAGGTTTTTAATTCTTCTTCCTCTTCTTCTTCTTCTTCTTCTTTTTTTTTTTTAAAGCATAGCCTCCTTATATTTTCTGGTTTTTAGTCTGGTCTTTACGTTCTTGTTTTTCTGATTATTATTGGCATGATCTCTTATTTAACTTGCTATGTTTTTCATATTTATCTACTGAGATTATAGCTAAACGTAAAGCTCCTCCTCCTAAGAGAAATATGGTTCATTGATTTAATTATGTCCCTATTTCAAGGAAGATATGAGTCAGTAATTTTGAGCAGAACTCAACTTTTTTTTTTTTTTTCATGACTGGGGATTGAATCTGGGGCGTCATACTTGTTTGGCATACTTGTTTGGTACAGTCCTTCTGTATTTGAGATAGTCTCACTAACTTTGCCCCAGATTGGCCTCAAACTTAAGGCCTTCCTGCCTCTACTTCCTGAACAGCTGAGATTACAGCTGTGCACCATCATGCCCGACCCATTTTTGGCTTTAAATTTATTATGTATTCTGAAAAACGAGTGATGTTATTTGTAGTTTAGGATAAAAAACAGGAAAAGAACTTTTGAGAAAATTTGGAAGAGGAGTAATTACATTGTATCAAAGTAATTTTAGGAATTACAGTTCTCTTGAATAGAGAAGTTCTTAATAAGTCTCAAGATTTTCGGTCTAAAATATGTTTTAATTATAGCTTTGCTCAGTGAGGTAGATTGACAAAAATTAAAGTTAAAGTTAGCAAAAGTCCCATTTCTCATGTGGCTTCTCATATGTCAGTTGTACTGGTATGGCCCCCTTAAACAAAATTCTATGTAAGGTATGTTTAAATGAACAGTTTCTAGCACCTCACATTCCATATTTCCATCATTGGTTTGAAAAATGTTGATGTATTATGATTTGAGTTTCTTATTCTTTGCTCCAGGTCTTGTCTTACTTTAAAATGAAAGTACCTGACTCTGCCTTTAAAGCTATTTTTGTTTTGTTAAAATGTTCTAGAAATTAGAAATTCATTTTTATTTACTATTGCTCCTTAGAACACCATTATATTTAGTTGGAACCAGAATAGTCAACATAATCTGCAAGAGTATAAAAATTGTTGTAGGGTATTTAATTAGTATACACTTAAAAATTTATAAATGTAGCCACCTATGTAAATATTAGCTGTACTTCTGGAAAGGAAGACTTTATTGTGGGTATTTGGAATGCATTCATACACATGTAGAAGAATATTTGCATGTAGCCAACAACAAGGTAAGATTGCTTGTTTAGAGATTTTGGAAGGAGGAAATATGCTTGGAAAATGGATAGAAACAAAATAAGTGAAGAAATACATGTTGATGTAGCTGGTTTATGTTGTCTTTACTATCTTTCTTAGGGTAGAACCTTTTTGGGGAGCTTGATTTTTGAAAAGGAAATAAAAATGAGAATTAAAGCAACCTATCAAGATGGAACTGTTATTGCTCAGGCTGAGTATGGCAATGTGGATATAGGGGAAGAGGTGGCCAAGAAAGGGTATGCAGAAAAATGCAAACTTAGTTCCAGCACTAACATTTGTGAGGAAAAGAAATCAGATCCTCGTCAGCTTGCCCTCAGGAACCTCAAGAACACCATTCCCTTGTGGGGACATAGATCAAACCAGTCAACCTTCAATAGGCCAAAGGGACGTATAAATGGGAAACTGACTCCTGACTTGAAGAATGAGAATAATTCAGGAAATCATGTGACATTTCCAAAGTAAGTGTGGTGGGGTTTTTAAGTTTTCACCTTTTTTTTTTTGTGTGTGTTGATTTTGGAGTTGAATTCAGTACTTTGTGATTGCTAGGCAGAGATACTCTACCACTTAAGCCACACCTCCAGTCCTGTTTTCTCTGCTTATTTTTTGAGATAGAGTTTTGCTTTTTTTTCTCAGGCTGGCTTGGATCGAGATCCTCCTGTTTTATGACAGGTGCATGCCACCATGCACAGCTTGTTTTCTGCTAAGGTGGGGTTTCATGAACTTTTCTTCCCCTGGCTGGCATGGAACTTAGTCTCCTGTGAAGCTTGGGATGACAGGCTTGAGCCACTTCTATTGGTTGAGATGAGGGTCTCACTAACATTTTGCCTGGCTTGACCTTGAAACATAATCCTTCTGATCTCAGCTTCCCAAGTAGCTAGGATTACAGGTGTGAGCCAGTGGTGTCTGGGCTTTTAATTTTAATTAATTTCAAATTTATGTTACAGGCCCTGTAGAAGTCCTTATACTTTTGGAAACAATGTCAGTGATTTCCAGGGGTGGTATTGATAATTTCTGTTTTTTCTCTGTGCTTTAGCAATAATATTTTCATTAAAAGCTATTTTGAAACAAAAATAATTCCTAAATTAAAGTTTGCATACTGACTTTTCATTTGAACTCTTTTGAATACCTTTATCAAAAATTAAAATCTACCCATAATCCAGGCAAAGCCAAAATTTCAAATAGGATTTGCAGCTGGAGTTGGAAGTACAGCTCAGTGGTAGAATATGTGCTTACCATACAGGAGGCCCTGGGTTCTGTCCCCAGCTCCGTAAAAGAAAGGTTTTCCTGCAGCTGTATGAATCTTTTAATGAGTTCAGGGAATTGCCTTTTTCTCTTCAACAAAAGAAAGGTACTTTGTTTTTCTTATGAAAATTTATTGTGATGAAATTTGATTATTTCAGGAGAAATTCACTTCTTTAAAAATATTTTTATTTCTTTTTTTTTTTCTTTTTCTTTTATTATTCATATGTGCACACAAGGCTTGGGTCATTTCTCCCCCCTGCCCCCACCCCCTCCCTTACCACCCACTCCGCCCCCTCCCGCTCCCCCCCTCAATACCCAGCAGAAACTATTTTGCCCTTATTTCTAATTTTGTTGTAGAGAGAGTATAAGCAATAATAGGAAGGAACAAGGGGTTTTGCTGGTTGAGATAAGGATAGCTATACAGGGCATTGACTCACATTGATTTCCTGTGCGTGGGTGTTACCTTCTAGGTTAATTCTTTTTGATCTAACCTTTTCTCTAGTTCCTGGTCCCCTTTTAATATTTTTATTTCTAATTGATCTTGTAATTATGCATGTTTATGTGGAACTGTGTAACATTTTCAATATGTGTGGACAGTTTTGTAATGATCAAATAAGAGGAATTGGCATTTCTAATACCTTAGATATGTATATCATTCCTTCAGGATTTCCATTTTTAGATAATTTTGAATTACCTACTTGAAGCAGAAAGCCAGATTTGATATATAAACCAAAATATTCTTCTCTATGGTGATCCAAGCTATGATGCCTTGTGTTATCTGACATAGCTGTGTGTTGGGAACTTACAGGTGCTTTAGGTACTAAAATATTATGTACTCATATGTAAAAATGGAAAAATGAGACCTGTTGAAACTATTCCAGGAATGGGGGAGGGGAGGATAAAAAAGAATGATGGAGGGGATGAATTCAACTATGATATATTATAAGCACTTTTGCAAATGTCACAATGCACTCCCAGTACAACAAAAATATGATAATAAAAAATGAACACACACATACACAAAGTAGGGAGGTGGAGGTTATGGGAAGGATGGATTGCTTGGAAGAAACTGATATGGAAATAACATTGACCTTGTTCTTTGAGGCTGACAGCATTATGAGGAAATTGGAATATGGGAGAGTTGGAGACACTGTTTTTATTGCCTTTTTAAAAATGGTGGTACTGAGGTTGGTACTGGGGTTTGAACTCAGGGCCTCCAGATTGTCTGACAGGCATGCTGCCACTTGAGCCACACTCTCAGCCCTGAGGCATTGTTCTTAAAATATGACTCAGTTGTAAAATCTAGTTTGCATTAAATAATTTTTTTTGCTTTTTTGACAAAAACAAAGTCAGAGGACAGAGTCCTGTTAGGCTGTCTTCGAGCTTACTATATAGTCCAAGCTGGTATCAAACTTCCCATCCTCCTGCCTTGGCCTCCCTAGTGCTGAGATTATATGTGGGTACCACTGTGCCCAGCTTAAATAAATTTTCAGTGTTGCTTATTGCATAGGCAAAGATTTTAGTTTCTGGAATCAACATTTTAAGAATATAGTATAAAAATCTCAAGATAATTTTGATTTGTGAATTCTGCCAGTCTTTTACAGTGTGTTTTTCAAAATGTGTGAATTTGTTTTTAACAGGGAAAGTTTGGCTGTTGGTGACTTTAATTTAGGGTCTAATGTCAGTCTGGCAAAAATTAAGCAGGACCAGAAACTGATTGAAGAAAATGAAAAGCTTAAAACAGAGAAGGAGGCCCTTCTTGAAAGTTATAAGGCATTAGAACTGAAAGTAGAACAGACTGTCCAGGAGCTTCAGGTATGTTTAGTGGCTGAAGGTAATGAATGTTCACCTGGGAAATCCATGCACTCATTTGCTCTTACTTATTTAACTTCTCTTTCCTCCCCACCTCACTCTCTCCTTTTCTTACACTTTAACCATGTTTGGATTTTATTGGATGTTTGAAGTTTAATAATTTTTGGTTTACATTTCCTTTGATGTTCTTTTGAAAAATTTTAACTATGAAAGATTTCAAACATTCTAGAAAGAGAGAATTGAATAATTCTCATGTTACTAATCACCATTTTAATAATCTTGAGTTGGCAAGTCTTTTCTTAAACCTATACTTTTTTAAATAAAATATTTAAAAACATTCTGTTCCTAATATTTCATATTCTTCAACATGTATCTATTGCTAATAGAAAAGGACTTTAAAGAAACTATAACCAGGGACTGATGTGTAGCTCACTTATAGAACACATGCTTACCAAAAGCAAGACTCTATGCTTAATTCACAGCCCTCCTAACCCCTAAACAACCAAACCATAACCATGCTACCTATATAGACTAAAATAATAATTCCATTATATCATTTAGTATCCAGGCAGTGCTTAGATTTCCCACACTGCCCCGCAAAAGCCTTTTTACAATTGATTCCCTTCATTGGACACCAGTTAGGCTCATACATTGTATTTTGGTTGACAGATCTCTTTAATTGCTTAATCTGCATGCTTGTTTTCTTTATGATCATGTGTTTCCTTTTGTGGTAGATAGGTCTCAAGGTTTGCTTAGATTCAGGTTCAGTTTCCCCCCAAAATATTATGTGGGCTAATAACAAAAATTACTATGTGGTTTTCAAGTGTGTTTTTTTTTTTTGAACACCAAATGTGTATTCCAACACCAATTCTCTGACCTCAGCTGGATGTCCAACAATTCAATTCAGTTAGGACACTAACATTTTTAACCTTAAAATTTTATGTATGTATACTAAAAATATTTAAATAATAGCAGAAATATGATTTCCTATTTATGGTTTTTATTAGGATGTGTTTGCTCTTTGTTTCAGCAAGAGAAAGCAACCACCATTGATTTGACTAAACATTTAGAAAACACTCTGAAGACTCGTGTGGGTACCAGAATGAAAAACCTGGCAGCTAAGGTGGAAATATTGAAAGAAATTAGGTATATAAAATTGTGTGTACTTAATATACATGTATGTTTTATTTTTGGCAGTGCTGGATCAAAACTAGAGCCTTGAACATGCTAGGCAAGTGCTCTACCATGGAGCTATGTCCTAGCCCCAAATAATCTTTTTGACTACTTGGGAGTCAGAGATTGGGAAGAAAATGGTTCAAGGCTAGCAAAAAGTTAGACCCCATCTCAACCAACAAGCTGGGTGTGGTGGTGTGTGTTTATAATCCCAGCTACATGGAAGCATAGGTAGAAAGATCACTGTCTGAGAGCAGCCCTGGCTAAAAATGGGAGACCCTATCTGAAAAAATATCTGAAGCAAAAAAGGGCCAGGGGCATGGTAAGTGTTGGAGCACTTGCCTTGCAAGTGTGAGGTCCTGAGTTCAAAATCTAGTACCTCTAGAAAAAGAAAAAGAATTTTTTGAGAAGGATAAATTAATTGCCAGTTAGTTGGTGCTTTGTTTAACTATGTGCCCCATATTTTTATGACCTTAAAAAACAAAAACTAAGTGTTTTTTGTTAGTTTTCTGTTGTCACTGTTCAGAGCTCTAGTGTCCTGAGGTCATCTCTGAGGGTGAAACTGAAAAAACAAAACAAAACAAAAAAACCCTGTGTTTCCAAGTGGTAGTTTGATGGAAAACTAATATCTAGTTGTTTTGCTTGGTGTTATTTTCAGAAGTGTGTATAATGAATATGAAGGTGTAAATAATCTACTTGATTATACTGTTTAAAGAAAAAATAGATTATTTACAAAGTGATCTTCATAAAGTCAGAAGAAAGGTGAAAGAATTGGTTAGCAAGGCTATGCAGAATTTATTCAGCATTTTTCAAAGTCTACATTAGAAATGTGTAGGTTTGTTTTTTGTTGTTGTTTTGTTGGTACTGAGGTTAGAGATCAGGGCTTTGTACTTTATAGCATTCTGGCTAACATACTTCTACTTAAGTCGTGCCATCAGCCATTTTTTCCCCCTCTACTTATTTTTGAGCTTATTTCTCCATATCTCAGTCTCCCCCATAGCTGGGATGACAGATGGGTACCACTGTGCCCAGCTATTGGTTGAAATGAGTCTTGTGAATTTTTTGCCCATGCTGGTCTTGAAATGCAGTTCTCCTAATCTCAGCCTCCCAGTTTTTAAAATCTTCACTGGGGGTCACTTTATTTTTGTTTAGGGATAATTTGTCACTCTTTTCTGAAACATGGATAAAATAATTCTCAAACAATATAATTTCCTTTTTGTAGTACACACTGGATTTAAAACTGGTAATTCATTTTTTCTTGTACTTTGAAACACTGAGATATTGCCATGTGTGAATACTGGATGTTGATATTTTCCTAGAGGAAATTTATCTTCTCCAGCATAAACCTATGACATTGGCATTTAGTTTGCAAGTCTTTTTAAGAATTTGAGTATCTAGTCTCTTTAGAGACTACACTGGTAAAGCTGTGAGCCAGACTTAGGGCCAAAATGTCAATATATTTTAGTTTATATTGGAGGAAGCTATGTGATAGTAGAATGGTGCTGTTGACTTGGAAGCTAGAAAAAACAATACAGGTGAGCCTTGTTAGTTAGGTTCATTAGCCTGCATCTTTGTTTTTAGATAATGTTTTAAGCTCAGCAAATGCTGGCCTGTCTGTCAGGGTATTAGGGACTCTGTGCCTACAGTGTTATTAAGCAAGATTAACTATACATCTCTAGAGAAGTATTTATAAATCTTACTGAAGACCTAATTGATACTATTTTAAATTCTTCAGATTTTCAAAGTTATCTAGTTATATAAAGTTTTTTAAAAATTACTTTTTTTAGTTGGATGTGGTGGTATGTGCTGTGGTCCCAGCTACTTAGGAAGCTGAGGCAGAAGGATTGCTTGAGCCCAGGAGTTCGAGGCAAACCTGGGCAACATAACAATACACTGTCTCAAGAATACATAAAATTTACTTTTACCACAAATGTTTTTAATTAAAAGTTTATATTACACATAATTGACGTATATCAAGTTGTACAGAATAAGGAGTTTCATCATGACATTTCCATACATGCATATAACGTACTTTGGTTATATTCATCCCCTCTTTTAATTTTTCTTATACCCCCCTTTCTACCTCCCTAAGTACTCTCCCTTTTACTTTAATGATCTTGTTTTTTTGTTGTTGTTTTATTTTCCCTAGTTTCCACAAATGAGAAAAAACATGGGATACTTGTCTTTGTGAGAAATGCTTATTTCACTTAACACAGTGATCTTTAGTTCCATCCATTTCCCAGCAAATGACATAATTTCATTCTTCTTTTAATATTAAGCTGAGTAAACCTCCATTGTGTGTGTCTCCCACATTTTCTTTCTCCATCCATCCATTCTTGGGGACCTAGACTGATTCCATAATTTGGCTATTGTGAATACTGCCATAACAAACATGGGTATACAGGTATCTAGTAAACTGTGATTCTTTTATATATACCCAAAAGTGCATGGCTGGATCATAGGGGAGTTTCTGTTTTAGTTTTGGGAACCATCTCAATCTGATTTCCATAGTGACTGCACTAATTTACATTCCTACCAGCAGTAAAGAGAGTTCCTTCTCCCACTCCCCTGAGCCCTCACCAGCACTTGTTTCTTTGAGAATAGCCATTCTGACTGGACTTAAGGTAGAATTTCAAGTAGTTTTATTTGCATTTGCGTATTGGCTAAGGTGTTGAACATTTGTACTTTTTCATTTGAAAAGTCTGTTGTTCATTTGCCCATTTGTTGATGATTATTTGTTATTTGGCATTTAATTTTTTTGTTCTTTTTATATTCTGGAATATTAACCCTCTGTCAGAGGAATAGATGGCCTAAATTTTCTCCTATTCCTGTAGGCTGTCTTCTCCTCTCCATTGATTTTTTTCTATTTTTGGGGTGGGATGGGTACCGTGTGGACCTTGTATTGTTAGACATGCAGTTACCACTTCAGCCGTGCCTCTCAGCTTTGATTATTTCTTTTGCTTGTAGAAGTTTATGATTTTTGGGGGTGGTGGGTGGTACTGGGGTTTGAACTCAGGGCCTTGTGCTTGCTAGGCAACAATAGAAGTTCTTAATTTGATACAATCCCATTTGTCAATTCGGTTCTTAGTTCCTGAGTACTGAATCCTATTCAGAAAGTTGTTGTGTATGCCTTTATCTTAAAGTGTTTCCCCTAGGTTTTCCTCTAGTAGTTTCAAAGTTTAAAGTCTTTGATCCTTTTGAGTGGGTTTGTAATAGGGTGAGAATAGGGATCTCAGTTCAGTCTTTCACATATGGACATCCTGTTTCTCAGCATCGTTTTGTTTAAAAGAGGTTTCTTTTTTTTTCTAATGGATGTTTTTGGTGCCTTAGTCAGATGCAGTATCTGCTTGGCTTATTCTGGATCTTCTATTCCATTGATAGATATGTCGTTTTGTGCAACTACCACCTGTTTTGTTACTATGGCTCTGTAATATGATTTGAAATCAGGTACCTCCATGTGTCTATTGAGATGATTATGTGATTCTTGTCCTCACTTGCTTTATATACTGTATCTTCCAATCTAGGAGCATGGTATGTCCTTTCATCTTCTAATGTTGTCTTTATTTTTCTTCAGTCATTTATAGTTTTTCTTATATAGTTCATTCAGTTTGTTAAACTTATCCTTAGGTATTTAAATTCTTTTGATGCTATTGTGAATGGATTGCTTTCCTTGATTTCTTTCTCAGCATGTTTATGTTGATGCATAGAAATGCTACTGATTTTTATGTATTGATTTTGTATATCCTGTACTTTGCATACAGGTATCTCAGTTTTTTGCTAATATCTAAGAGGTTTTTTTGGTAGAATGTTTAACATCTTTAGGTATAAGATCACATTGTCT